TACTCTCTTTTTCTTTCTGTTTTAAAGAGATTCTGAGTCGCGGTTTAGCGTGAAAGAGTGACTGTGCGCGTGCGCTTCAGAGCGAGACAGAGTGAGAGTGAGGTAGAGAGAGAGAGAGAGAGAGAGAGAGAGAGAGAGAGAGAGAGAGAGAGAGAGAGAGAGGGAGGGGGAGAGAGAGAGAGGGAGGGAGAGAGAGAGAGAGAGAGAGAGAGAGAGAGAGAGAGAGACAGACAGAGAGAGACAGACAGACAGAGAAGGGGGGGAGAGAGAGAGAGAGAGAGACAAAGATATGAAAAAGAAGAGGAAGAGAAAGAAACGAGAGAAAAAACCCCCCACAAAAAAGAGACAGTGCGAGAGAAGAGAGTTACTGTCCTCACCAGCATCGTTGTCCACCACTCGGCATTTGTCTCCCGTCTGATGTGATAGCACGCAGGCGGCCGAGGTGTGCCACTCCAGCTCGTAGTAGCAGCTGTCTTCTGACTTGTGCACCAGCACAGGGGCGCTCTCAAGGTCACCTGGGGGAGGGGAGAGATTTAGTTAGGGCAAACTGAAGCACAATGACACCAGAACAACCATTTCACCTGCCACCATGGCTGGGTTTTTGTTTTTTTTAATGAAAGTTTTATGGCATTTGCAATACAATTAGGTCATACAAGTGCCAAAGGTTTGAGGAGTTACAAGATAAGAGAGTAACAAACATAAAATAAAAGGAGGAGAGATCATTTGTTTTAGTAAGGGTTTTATGGCACTTGCAATACACTTAGGTTTTATAAGTGCCAAAGGTTAGAGGCGTTACAAGAGACAAAAAAGAAGGAGGAGAGGTAGGGACAATAGATATACGATAGGAAAGGAGCAAACCACACCAGAGCACCTGACAACCACCCACAAATACAGAGTTTTGGAAAACCCCTTAACAAAAGACATGGGTCAAAGCGGGACAGCAAGGTTAGGGATATAACCACTGCACCACATTGCCTCTCCACACCCCCCCCCCCCCCTTGTGACCACCACCAGCACAGGTACAGTGAGCTCTACTATGTCAAGTTCATGTTTTTTATAACTTGGGAAAGTAAAGGCAAAGGATGAGGGTAAACATGGACAGGCACTATAATAAAATAAACGAAGTGGCTAGCCGTACTTAAGTACGGCTAGACTGCCAGTCTAGCTGTACTTAGATCTAGGTTGGGCCCTATCGACTCAAGCCTGTTAAGTACACAGGTCTCATTAGATCTAGATCTAGTAATTATTCAGGTTCAAATACATGCAAGTCAGTAAGGCACCTTTTGGTTTTGTCTGAAATACAAATACTTTAGGCATTGCAAACTAAACATTTCATTTACAATTCAGCCATCAATATTAAGTACGGCTAGACTGCCAGTCTAGCCGTACTTATCTTAGGCCCTATTAACATTAGAAAACAGGAGGTTTAAAATACATGCACTGTCATTAAGGCACCTGGTTTCGTCTCAAATACAAATACTTTAGGTACTGCACACTAAAAATGTATATTTACAATTCAGTAGGCCTATTTTTTGTAAATGGTCAGTCTAGCCATCATATTAAGAATAAGTACGGCTAGACTGCCGTCATTAAATACGGCTAGCCTCTTCCTAAAATAAATAAAGTTTTTGAGGCAAAGTTTACAGTGAGACATCATGAGACAATGAAGACATGTTCTGCCACGGCAGCTGATAGTTAATCCGTCCCACCCTTTGCAATAAACCAACCTGGGCTACAGAAGAAGTTGATGGTGGTCTTCCTAGCGCAGTTGTTCTCAGTATGAGCCCCATTGGTGTAAGTGAGCTTCAGAGACTTGCTGGCTGCATCATAGCTCAGAGGGTCAGTATATTTACCAAGGCTGACTGCTCCGTTCTTGCCTAGGAAAGATGAAAACATACATTTGATCAGATATAAATGAAAAATAAAAAAATAAAGTGAACCAGATCAAGACAAATTCAAGCAAATAAAAGTTTCATATGACAAAACGCAAAAATTTGCTAGACTACTACTAAAGAATTTTAATATTTTAATAAAGATTATTTGGCAAAGTAGTTTTTCACACTGGAAATCTAGAATGAAGACATGCCATCTCACAGTGTTGTTGGAGGGGAGTCTTTTCAGAAGGTGGAATGCTCATAGTGTGCCAAGGCATAGATGTAGTTGTTACATCAACCTTTGAGTGAATTTTCACACCACATGGTAAACTGTAAGCGCCACCTCATTGTATTCCATAGCACATGCTGAACATGACTGTGTCGCGATACAAAAGAGCTGTTGCATTAATGGTAAGATTTGAACAAAAACAAAAATCAGAGAAGACAGTACATTTTAAAAAGAGAATAGTAATAAGATAACAACATATTTTACCATCTTTGCTGCCTTGTTCTGTTTCATTCCATCCATCATTTTTATTTTTACTCTTCCTCAGCCTCTCTATCTGTCTTTATCTGTGCATTGTCTCTTTTTACTCCTCCCCCCCCCCCCCCCCCCCCCTGAAAATAGGCATATATACAAAT